ATGCGATGCTATAAGCGATCAATATTGCAGCGATCTGCAAAGCGATGGCATGTCAGAGTGAAAGAGAGAAATATTGCTTGAATTGCCAAGGAGAATATATTTCACCTACTAACCAACGGTTATTTAAGCTCAGCACGCAACGAAAACACACGTATAAGAAAAGCTTTATTACGCGATAAAGCGAGAAAGCATTTCAGAAATGCTTTCTCGTAACTCGCCTTACTTGTCGCTTTGGCTCTCTTCTCGCTTCGCTTGCACTCTGACATGTTTTAAGCGATCACATGTAAATCAGCATGTAGAGCTTTCTCGCTTGTTGTCGCTCCATATTATCGCATCGCTTATCGCGGCCACTCTGACATCAGGCTTAGTATGTTAAAGATTGTCCAGCTTCAATAACGGCAAAGGTGATTTACACTCATTCAGTCCATGTAATAGTCGTCATAGTAGCGAGTATACTCATTTGGTCTGTTGAACGAGTATAAAAACCGGTAAGGGTTATGAAGTAAACGTGTCAACAGACGACATTTGGACATCCGTTAGGAACAGAGGACATCACATATATCCATCACAGGCGCTATTTGAGCTCAGCCTAAACATTTTTGCGGATCCTTCAGCAATCCGCACACTTAAAATATTTACGCAATCAGAATTAATGCAACTGTCATGTTTTCTGTCCCCGCCCTCCGTTCTCCGGCATCGCTCACGAAGCGTTTAATGCAAATACACTTTAGAATTGCAGCCGACCGCATCAGGAAGGGTGGCCTCTCTTCCTGCTCCTGCTCCTGCTGCTGCTGCTGCTGCTCCTGCTCCTGCTCCAGTTACATTCGGCTGGCTGATGCATGTTTAAATTTAAACAGTAAAACCAAACTCATTACCAACAACAGGCGAGTGTGTTCTGTGCGCTGTGCTGTGATGTGTCCGTCGTCGTTGTCAAATTACCAAACTGTCCTTTTGCGTAATTTTGTGGACATTGAAAATCGCTTTGATTGAACCGCATGCCAGGCAGCAACAACAACAACAACAGCAACAACAGCAACAACAACAACGGCTACAACTGCTGCACTACAATGGCCGCACATAAAACAAACAGACCACGTCCTGCCAGTGTCCTGGCCACATCCAAATCCACTTGCAATTGCAGCTGCAAATGCGCTCCGCTGCACTTACACGCATCCCAACTTCAGCTCCATGTGTAAATTGCCGATGCGGATGCGGATTGGGCATTGGGCATCGAACATTGGACATTGGGTATTGGGTATTGGGTATTGGAGAATTAACGATTGGGGACGTGGAGGATTAAGGGATTGGTTTTATGTCGCTTGCGCTCGAATGGAGACGCATTTTACTGCCCTGCTAATCTCTGAGCGATGCGTTGCGCCAATGCGAAGTAAAAGCGAAACCAAACTCGGGCAACTGAGCCCGGCGAGTGGGCGTGGTGGTGGGTGTGTGTGTGGGGCGCGGGGCACGTTTGCCGGCCCAGCAAGTTGACTTTGAAAATCAATTAACAACATCAAACAGACACTGGCTGCTGACGTGACGTGGACTACAGCCTCCGGCCTCCGGCCTCCGGCGTCCGGTGTCCGGTGGTTGAGAGTCGCCTCGCAAGTGTGTAAATTGCAACTGTAAATCAAATATGACAACGCAGCCGATGCAAAATTTCCATGTGTGTCAGTCACATTAATTGTCCGAGCCAAGTGGGCGGCCATTGGCCTGCATTGGCCCCGGGTGGGCGGGGCATATTTTATTGTTGCGTTAATGAGTGTGCATAGCGCTGCCGTAGGCTTGGGTGACCAGAGACGCAACGGGTGTGAGCCAGGCATAGAATATGGTTTGCATTCCCAATAGACCCACTGGACCCACTAGACCCACTGGAGCTGCACTCCACTGTTGCAGTGCTGCAAGCTGATGCTGATGTGGCACAAAAATATGTTGCCATACGGCATGTGGAGGGCAGTTTAATTAATTGTATGTGCAACTTGCTTGAATAAAAGGACATTAATTGGATATTGATTGCACGAGTGATAAATAGTGGGCCACTCGGACTGCAAAGGAGTTGACGGAGCTGTCCATAAACCCGCCCAGCTTCAATTTCCACCCCCCCCCTAAAAAGCCGGATAGACCGAAAGTGAGAGCATCGCAGGTGGCATAAAACTTTTCAGGTCAGTGACTCGTCGGCTCGTTGGCTCTTTGATTCCTTTGACTCGTTTACTCATTGAAGGAAAACATTTGCAACTTTTCTAATTAAACAAGCAACAAATTAGTTAAATCAACTTAATCAACTCGAAGCGACAACGCACACACACATAAATAAATGTATATATATTAGTAGAGTTCCATGCAGACGAGTAGCTAGTACCCCTTAGATGTACTCAGACACGAGCTAATAAAATTATTTGCTCAACAACTGCACAGTCCGCAGAGCAAACAAATGGGAAAAGAAACTGCATGGCAAGTTATGAGCACGTAGATGACATAAAATGTTTTGGGCTCTGCTCTGGGAGAGATGAGTCCGCTTCATCGCATTTGCATGCAGCTCGCAGCAAGCATGACGTGATAATTTACCCAACTGCCTATAGAGGCAGGCGTAACCCCAGCCTGCTAGCTGCTCGCAGGGCCCCTGCTCAAATCAGAGACAGTTTATAGGATGCAAACATCAAATTTGATGACGTCTCTGCCATAATTATGCGCGATTTGTTGTGTACAAAGCGACTGGCTGGGAGATGGGCGGAGCTGTGGAGCAATATAAACTGAAGTCGGCGACAGTTTTAATGGGCACTTTATGGGGGGAGCTTGGATGGGATGCTGCTCCCCAGCTCGCGCCAATAAAACTTTATGAATGCCTGTCAGATAAACAGCTGAGATTAATTTCAATAGTTTATGATCGAAGCTAGATAGTCGGGGTGACTTGAATCAAGTAATTCTTAAAGCTCTAGCTCCGACAGCCCCAGTCAGTGGTGCTTTAGTCTCCATTGTCGAAAAAATGCCAGCTAGACAAAGTCAGACCGAAACGCAGACCGCATTATCTCGCCCTCCTCCTGCTTAGCGTCCCGTTTATGGGCTAAGCTGAAGCTCTCGCCGCGACATGTCTGCGGTATGTGGAAGACCTTTCATTGGTGCAATTTTCTTTGACCGGCTAGACGCCATTAGAGCTGTGGCTGGTGGCATTCCAGAGGAGGCTGGGCGTCGAGCTGTTGACTGCTCTGTGGCGATAACTGGGAATTAATTAAACGCCGAATGAAATTAAAATGAAACCGCAAACTCGAAAGCTGCCTTCAAGTGGTGCGCCATAAGGTCTATTAATAATGGCATAAACGACTTAAAGATATAAATTCGGATGTGCTATGCAGTGCCACACCCCTTTACGGGCAAAAACAGTCCACGACTAGCCCCATAGGCTCTGTTGCCCAACTGTGGCTTTCATAATGTTTGACGGCTGCTTCCTCTTTTTCTGTGCATTCTTCTTCTTCTTTGTCTGCATTCATCGAGCAGGCCTAACAACACAGGGCGAAGCCCCACGCCTCCTGCCGAAACGGGTGAGTGGGTCGGGCGGAAACTCGAAACGAAACAACTGCAACAAATGCAACTCTGGCAGCGACTTTCCACTTCCGCTGCACTAAAAGTTTAAGTTCATTTCCGCCAGGGCGTAGAATTTTGCGAAAAATTCATTAGAAGTTGCACAAACACGCGACTGGACCTGGACTCCCTCGCCCATATCACTGCGTCGCCCTCTTCCCTCTTCACTTGCATCTTTTGTTCTCTTTTCTCTTTTGCTCGTCTCTCTTTGAATAACATTTGCGCCACCACTTGGCTTAGCAAATTCATAGATCAGCTCCCAGATGCAGCTCCTTCGATATGCGTCGTTCTCACGAACTGTTTGTCCGCCATTCTCTCGAAATGCTTCCGACCTCCACTGAGCTCCGCTTTGTTGGCGCACCTTCAATGCCAGCTGCAGAGACACGTTCGTCTTGTCATTTCGTAGTGTGTAATTAGTAGCAATTAATTAAGATTAACACTTGATAGCTCCCACTTCTTAGCGGGCAACACCGCAACGTGTCCATGTCTTGCCCCCAGTTTGGGTCCTCGACTAACGTGTCGACCCGTCGCCCGAGTTTCCCACATAAGTTTCAACCAACTGACAGAGATAAATGACTGTCATTGCACCAAGTACACGACGATTAGATAACGCTTAAAAAACCAGTAGCTTCCGTAGAGCGTATAGTGCTCTAACTGTCTGAACTCCAGATGCAGAAAATGAGTATGCTTAGACATATGTAAATACATATCTGTATATTATAACTAAAAGGGTAAACTGAGTATTAAGAATATAAAGATTAAATTCAAAATTCAATTCAATTCATTATTTTAACTTCTTTTAAGCAGCCGCGAGTAAATTTGTCCTTTATCAATGTTCTTCTCAAATACTCTTTCTTTTGAACTGATTTTGACCTCGCCGCCAGACACAGCTTGTTGCAGATATATGGTATGAGAAGAATTTACTTTAAGCCATTAGGCTTAGAGACTTAATATATATTTTATTTGCAGCCTTATGATAATGAAGTATAAATCTTACTGAGAGATAATCATTCGAATTTTGATTTTCTAAAATTTCAACGGATTGATTTGAACACAATATACACGATCCATAAGAGGAATTTATTCGATTGCAGCCATGTAGACTTCAAATATTTACAGTAGAACAGAGAGTTTAGAGTTATATTTTAAAGAACAGTAGGAATGCATGGAAAACTATTAAGGCGTATTCAAAAAATCCTGTTAGATGTTAAGCACTTAAAATGTTAAAATTTCAAGTCGTTTAACTAGAGCTAATAAGAAATTCTCTAGCGAAGACATATGGGAATTCTTGATACAGCTCTAAAGACAAACGATTTCCTTCACACATTCTGATATGGTATGAATCCTATATTCCCAATAATTTGTTTAGAAAAAGTCAATTATAGAGGCTGTGTGCTGATAAAACTTTCCGTTTCGTCTCATTTCAGGCCTGAAGGATCCTAATTTGGACAGGCACACCACTAAAGGTAAGAGGGCGGAGGTCCTCATTTTATTTGGCTGGCCCAATGGAAATCATAAATTTATTAAGGCCCCACTTAAGTCCAAATTGTCGAAATAATTGCAAACCAAAATTTGTTGCTCGACACAAAGTCAAAGGGCGCCACAGTAACCCAGGCGAAACCCACACACTGAACCACAATAACTATAAATTCCCAGGACTCGGAGCCCGGTCACAGCGAGCAGACGAAGAGGCGAAGGGGCGAAGAAGCCAGCAGCCTCTTTAAAACGCAATCAAGCTGAAAATTAATTAAAATTTTAAGCGGGATATGAAAATAATGTGCAGCCGAAAGAAATTACACTGGCAAACAAAGCAGTGGCCACACCTCAGCTCAAGAGTTGAGGCGCCCAGCCCCTGCTCTGCCTAGAGGAGTCGGCGTTTAATTTAAAACTCACTTGTTACATTCTTAGACGCTGACTTCGACGGCAGTCTTCAGTCTTCAGTCTGCGTGTTTGTCCCAGTTGGAAGTCGTCTCGATTTCATTAAAAATGTTTTTATGCTCACATTATCCCTTTACTTTAGCGTTGACTTCACGTCTCGCTGTTTTAGCGAGCAATTTAATTTGACTATGAAACGGCAGCCGCATCCTTGACACTTTCGCTTTCCACCTCCCCACCGCTCCGCCCTTCCACGTAGCTGGCTACCCTTGCCGATGGCTTGTTTTAAGCAGCTTAAGCTTGTCGTTGAGGTGCTCGTTACCCACGGCTGCTGCTCCTGCTACTCCTGCTCCTGCTGCTGTTGCTGTTAAAGGGCTCATAATTTCACGCTCCGCGCACACACAAGTCCCCCTCGCCGTGCTGCACCTGTGGCCTTTAACTGAAGAGTTCTCACCGATTCCACTGTGCGTGTGTCGACACAATTTACACCAAAGGCTTTGCTTCCTCTCGCTTTGAGCTGCTGAAGGCCCCACCTCAATCCAATCAAGCTTAAGTGCGATGTTGAATGCCCTGGATCTGCAATTGCCGACTTCTTGGCATTGTATGCCTCACGATCTCTGCTTTAAGCAGTTCTAGCACAGAGCTAAATGCTGACAACTTAAGTGTTTTTGCTTAACAAGTCTTTAAACGAAACTCTCACTTAACTGTGATTAGTGATGACACGAATCTATCATATAATACACAATAATCGATACTTTGCATCCATTGGCGATTTGATTTCATCACAAAACAGCTTGAGGCATCGTTAGTACTTGTGATTAAATGAAACCATAATCGATTTTTCCAAATAATAGTCGTTTGTATCACCTGAGTATTTTCACGGAGCAGCTCTCAGATCTTTTCTCTAAAGTGGGTGCTCCTCTTATGGAAAAGAAGAATAGATTGGTCAATCTTTCGAAGTTATTGTTTCTCAATTCCAGACCTGATAAATATATGATTACATATATTTTTTGAGAATTTAATATGTTTTTATGCAATAAATTACTTTAAAAAATTATTTTAAAAATCATTTGCTTAATGAATAATCGATTATTTTATATTGGCCCTAATGGCGAAATTTAAATTAATCAGGATTCAATAATAATCGATCAATGAATTTTGTTTGCCATCACTAGCTGGGACTGCTTACTCTTTTAAAGGACCTTTACATTCCTTTGAGGTCATCTGCAATGCCATGAGACGGGAGTTTATCTCTTGCCTTCCTGTTGCTAGTGGAAGGACTTGACATTGGCTCTTCCACTAATGTGATGAATGGCCGTGTCAATGCACTCGCAAAAAACGGGCCATAAAAACTGCTTTGGCGTCGTAATTATTCTGGTGGCACAGCCAAGACCCCGCCCACTCGCTGGCTTGCAAATTATTCCACGGCAACTAGTGCCCCATTCTCGCCAACATCACTTTAATCTCATAAATCAAACGTAGACGGGGCATACGAGCTGCAGCACAGCCGGCCGCACATATCATAGCATTTAACATATTTCACTTAGGCAAACATTTAATCCTGTACCATGTCCCAGGACCATCGACCTGGCGGCCTACCTGTCTGCCTGTTGGCTGGCTTGAGTCGGCAACATTTTCATTTCCGCTAGCGTTTTATTTTTATTTCTTATTACACGTTATCAAATAATGAATATCAAATGTAATGCTTATCATTTATTTGCCAAGGCGGCGCCCAAATGGATTCGATGCCACCAACTTGTGGGAAGCTGACCCAGCCCCAGTCCCAGCTCCAGCTCCAGCCACAGCCCCAGCCCCAGCCAGGTGGCAACGTACATATATATTATAATATTTACTTAATTTTCATTTATAATTTTTGCCGTGGCAGGAGGCATATGAGATGGCAGCCAGACCTTGGCCGTGGATAGAAAAAGTGGGGAGAAAAAATGCTGCATAATAAGCGAGCTACGAATAGCGAAAGTTGCTCAGAATTGCTGGTGGGGCATGGGGGGGTAAAAGTCAATTGCAGGTGGCTTAAGCTGGCAGCTGAAGCGATAAGCAGAGTATTTGAATTTTTAATAAAATGAAATGCGAATCCCTACAAGCTTGGCTCGTCCCGTTCCTTAATGCATTTGCCACTTGTGCAGAAGCTGCGGCAAAAGAGAAGCGAAAGAAATTATTCAAATTCGACTCGTGGCTCGTGGCTCATGGCTCGTGATTGCTGCTGCCATTTCGCCATTTTCCTGTCCTGTCACTGGCTGTGAAAGCTGCGCTGCTTGCCCATCTGTTTCTTGGCACATTTGAGCTAATCTTTCGGTCAGCCAGCATCCCATTTCGTGCTTCCAGTCCGATTCGCATTGTCCGTCGCGTCGGTCCGTCTGCAGTTTGTTGTCTATTCGCTTTTTGGGATTCCAATTTGAATGCTTCGTGGTTTTGCCACCGACACCCTGGATGGGTGTCCCTACGATTCGGTGGGTCCAGCCAATATTATTTTATTCATGCCATCGTCATTGTGTTTGTCTTTTTTGCCGTCCTGCTCCTGCTCGTGCTCCTGCTCCTGCTTCTCAGCTTTATTGCACTTGAAAAATCGTAATTAGAATTGGTAATGTATTCAAATTAACTTTCATTTCCGTGTATTTGTTTTGGCGTCTCTTCAAGGGGGCGACGCACCCACCTGGCAAGTGAAAGCTTTAGCTTCGGCTTGACAATTAAGCGATAAGCAAGAAGCGATATTATCTGAATATCGAGCAGAGGAATAACCCAAGCACATTCCCTCTTGCAATCAAATAGAAATAGATTATTCTTCTTCTTGCTAACTGCGGGGGCGGGCGGGTAGGCGGGGAATCGTTTGCGCCATCTAACACATACTTTTGTTACCATATTTCAAAATCTTTGTTTGCCCAGCCACGGAAGGAAAAGTTTTGCCGAACAAAAAGTAACTGAACGTGCGGCGGCATTGAAAGCGGCAAGAGCCAAAGCCAAAGCGTAAGCCAAAGAAAATGTGGAAGCAAGAAACTGCAGAAACTTTCGCAGGCGGAATCGTAAAGAATTCAACTAATAAAAATCAGCCACTCAAGTGCGAAAAAATCGCGAAAAGCATCATCAAATAATGTGCCACTCAAGCCGAATGCCAAGCGTGTCCAGCCCCAACTCCAGCTCCAGCTCCAGCTACCCGAACCGAACCGAAAGACAAATAGAAAACAAAAGTAAAATGTAAAAGTGAGTCGAAATAAAACTATGCTCGCTCCCAGAATCTGGCAGGGCATGCGGCCACACCCCCACCCAATTCGCCCCCCTCGATGTACGTCATCGGGCGAACTTCGATGGTCTATATAGCCAGAGCTCCAATCTGTCTTCCAACGGCAAGGGAGTGGACGGGGGCTGGGCGGGGGGTGTGGTTGCTGATGCGTTGGCCACATATTTCCGCCGCCACGAAGCGTGCTAGGTATTTTCCCAGTCTATATGTCTATGTGTGTGTGTGTGCGTAGCGGAAAAGCAATTTTCCTTTGTGTCGTGCTCAGGTTTCAGCTCGGATTGTTTTCGCCGTCTAGTTTTTCCTACGCGCTGCATTGAGCTGGCAAATTTGTTGCAACAGAAATAAACACTTTATTAAATGCATTGGAATAAACGCAGCCGAAGAGTGTCTCTCGCTGGCGCAGTTCTATTTGTCTTCTCCTCACATGTGGATAAGCTCTGCGGATAAAAAGTTTGGCGGACTCTCGAAAAGTGAATTTGGTGCTAAGCTCCAGTCCGTGCAGCGAACTGAATCTTAAAGCGAGGCACCTAAAAAGTTGCATCTTTTGTTCTGCACGGACTTAAGACTGCAAATAAAAACGAGGAGCCCGGCATTGCACGTCTTTCTAAGTAAATATATTGACACTGATTGCATTGAGCCATGCGACTTGGGCTTAGTCGGAAGAAAACGAAAGAGCCTAAGCTGGAGTTAGTTCGCCCTATGCCTCAATTACCTTAAGCGAAAAGGGAGGAGTCAGCGGATAAAAGGCACTGCGGCTAGACCCCACGTGGTGATACTTTTCCGTTATGAACCGATCTTTTATTTTTGTTAAGTATAATCATAAAACCACATGACGAATCAGGAACATCTATATATTTTCAAAGCAGTTATTAGCTTTATCCAATAAGACCAAGGCAAAGGGGTCTTCAGTAGTCAATGGGGAATAGGGTAAGAGGGAAACAAATAGGGAAAGTAGGAAGCAAACGAAATGGGCATTTAATATACTATATGCAATTATCGAACTAGTATTGACATCTAAGCAGAAAAGAGTAATTGAATCTCATCAGATATTTCTCTTCAATCTCTCCTTTGAATATATTTACTTATTACGCAAGGCAATAGTTCGGGAGTTCTCGTCCCACTTTTAAAGTCCCCCTCTCCTTCTAGCTATTAGCTTAACTTACTCCCAACTCTTTGAATGCGAACAATCAATGTGTGCTCGAGCATTCAGTTGAATAAGAATAATAGCTCTATTTGAGATCTGTATAAAGCCAGGGCGCTGGGCGCCTTAATCATTTCATCAGATCTCGGCGAGTACACAAATTATGATTTAAATATTTATTTACTTTTTGCATTTGC